TTCCAGGCAGGCCTGGGAGGCTGATGGGAGGCTGCCATGGGTCTGAATTGTAGCTGCTGCTGCTGCAGGTTGCTGTGGCGTGGCACTGTGGGCACCATGTGGCACACTGGCAGAAACCATGGGCGTAGAAGTTCAGGCAGGAGCTGCAGTAGATTCTGAGTTCAGGAGGGGCATGAGCAAGTGCAGTGGGACCCAAAAAAAGTCAGGAGCAAAGACCCCAGAGGTCCAGGGATAAGATGTCACCCTCTGCTGATGGACCCATAGGGTCCACATGCAGACAGTACCGGTGACCTTGGGAAGGCCCAGAGTGCAGAGATCAGCATGGTCCCAGGGAGGATGGGAAGCAATGATAGGCTCCATGCTGTCTCACATCTCTGCTCCCAAGGGCAAGAGAGGCCTGGAATGAGCGCTGGACAGAGGAAGGGGGTCCCGGGAGCACCTGCTTGTTAAAAGATGCTGGTCCCCAGGTTTTTGAAAGGGCTGTGGAGAGCAGGTGTACCTTGCAAGCTCACACTGTCCCATGTGGTTGCTGCAAAGAGGGTGAGGCCTCCGTGGGCAAAGGAAGGGAGGGGACAGCCACAGTGGCCTGGCTGAGACAGGGGAGCCCTATGGGAACAGGGTCTCCCACACCCCAACGTTCCTCCTCACTTGCTTGGGGGTCCTACAATGTCTGGGGGCTGTCCCCACCCAGGCTCCCCACCGCAGCAGGAAAGCTTGGGCCCCTTGAGTCTTCCTAGGTCCCGCCTGATCGTGTCCGCAGTTCCAGAGCCCCCTGTCCCAGTGGGCAGGGTGCCATCGGAGGCACAGGGGACATTAGCGTGTGCTGACTTGCTCCTGGGCCGAAGGCTCCCTGTCCCACAGCACAGGCTGTGATCACTGTGAGTCAGCTGGTCCTTCACGAGTGCCTGAGCACCTGCTATGTGCTGGGCACTCTTCCAGCCGCAGGGGACACGACAGAGAGGGAGGGACGGAAAAGGCTGCTCAGAATGGACATAAAACACGTCAGCAAAAGTAGGACACTCTCCTTGACCTTTGACCCAATCGAGGGACATAAAATCTGTTTTCTTGCCTGGAACTTGAAGATCAGAATTGGTTTGCCACCTGTCAGTGGGACGCATGAGCTGTTTCGCCGCCAGCTGAGAGAACTGCGTCTCTCTGCTTTGGCCTTGCTTCCAGAATGCGACGATGACGGGCATGGACACGGACGAGGCTCACCCTTGTCACTCTCAACATGGCAGCTCTGAGTCATTCCACTGTCCAAGGCATCAACCCAGAGTCCCTGTTTAGTTCTGTCTGCCACGACCCCAGGCCTTGGACAAGAGGGCCTTCTTCCAGGTGCTGGTCTCTCCTGCCCAAGGCAGGGAGTTGGCAAGATCACACTGACCCGCTATCTGGGGAGCTGGGGGAACCCCAGGAAAGTCGTGGGTTTCAGTGTCTGACACTGGGTGCCAGTGCCACATATGGGGCCTGCCCCTCACTGGGCATATGGACAGGAAAAAGAAGGGGAACCAGCCTTGGGGGGCAGAGCACCCCAGGCTAGCCTCGTCAGGGATCCTGACCCTGGTGGTGCCATGAGGTGCTCAGAAGGCCTCAGGAAGAAGCTGTGACTCCTAGAAGGTATCTGTGCCCATCACACTGGCAGGTGCAGTGGAACAAGCCCCTCTCGCTGCTAGGTGGCATGGGAAACAGTATTTTCAGTGACACACATGGGATTGGAGTTCTCTTGGTGAACAGTGGGTGATGGAGTCAGATGTTAGCTACATATCAGGGACTCGTCTCCTCCATCCTCCATCCTACTCCCTGGGTACCAGCTCATCTGTGTTAGCAGGCGAGGAGTCTGGCACACGGTAGGTGCAGCTGTAGTCCTCTGCTTAGGTAGAGGGTCCAGCCCTTTCTCACAGGGAACCCCCAGTCCGATGGGGGAGGCGGCCAGCATACTGCCCACAGATAAGTAGACCTAAGGCACAAGGATGGAGCGTCCCCAGAGGCCAGCAAGAGACTGACCATCCTGCCCCCAAGGCCTGTGTGTGAAAGGACAGCCCCAGAAATGCCAGGTGCAGAGTGGATGCCCTGCCCAGAGTCCCTAGGTAACCAGAACAAAAGCTGGATTTGGGGTTTAGCCACATCTTAGCAAGAAATCAGAGCCTAAAGTGCAGGCACGGACTCCCTGACCAGCTGATAGGCTGAGACATAAACTCCTTAGGGAATCCATGCCATGTGTGCCATGGGAGGGCCTGTCCAGGGCTCCCTGGGAAGCCATAGCACCTGCTGTGGATTCACTGCTCACACCCCACAGGGCTGCCCATCCCCTGCCCACTCTGGTCTGCCAACAGCCGGGGCCCCCAACTCCTCTACAAAACAGGTGACAACAACCACACAGTTGCCTCTCCCAGATGTGTGAGCAGGTGCATCTGGAAGTTCCCACACCTCAGCCGCGGGGCTCCGCCTCTTCGGAAGGCTGCCTGCTACCTGCTGCCTGCTGCCTGCTGCCTGCAGGAGACAGCACCTGGCTCCTGCCGAGGCTGCTAGGACCCACCATAGCTGCCCCATGTTGGGGTGAGGGGTCTCCGCCCCCACTGTGTGGCCAAGCCTCTTCGCATGAACTCTGCTGTCCCCTCCTTTGAAGGTTCTGGCCCAGCAGGCCTGGAATTCGGTCCCAGTAGCCTGAGCCACTGCTACACAGGTCCAGCTGCAAGAGCAGAAACTCTAGAAGCTGCCCAGGCCTCCCCGGCTCTCAGCAGGTGCTGCTCTAGCCCCCACTAAGCCCCTTCCACCCTGTTCTTCCCCAGGAAGCAGTGCATTGGCTTGGGCTGGGCACCTTGGTCCTTGGCTGGCTGTGCCAGCTGGCCCCAGCCTATTGGCAGAGCCGGGCCGAGGCTGTGGGCATGGTGCTCCGTGGGCCCTGGGCCCTGGGAGCCCTTGCATGTGGTGGGCCTCACTGGAGCATCACGTGAGGTCAGGGCTGTGTGATAGAGGCAGCTGTGGGACTTCTTGGGGTGGCCTACAATCGTAGGAGGTGCCCTGCCCGCTGCCCCGCCTCCACGGTCACCCTCGGGTATCCCTCCCACTGCACCTTCCAGAAGTAGCTCTTGGAGGAAGCAGGGCAGCCCGTGGGGATGGGAGACCCTGGAAGAAGCAGGGGCCCTGCACATTTGCAAGGGGCCCCTTAGGAGCAGACAGTGTGTGTCTCTGTGTATGTTTTGGATGTTCACTCCTGCATCAAGAGAGAACTCGTGGCCCCAAATCAGGTGCCCAGCCTGTGGCTCGCAGCGTGTCCCTGGGGTTATACCCAGCCACTATGAGCAGTGTGCAAACACTGCGTCCTCTCAGAAAGAGCCCCTTTTCCTGTACCCAATACCCCTTGTCCACCACAGGGCACTGTAGCGCCCATGTCCCCTGGGTGCCCAGGCCTGAACACACACCAGGTAAGCCCTGGCTTCCCTGCTGTGGACGTGTCTGTGAGGAATCCACGGAGTGTGCAGCCGTGTCACTAAGGGACGGGTCCACACTGCAGCCATGTGGATGCCTTCACACTGACTGTGCAGCAGCACCTCTGTGGGATGCTAGCCCGTGATACGACCATGGCCCTGGAGTAGGGGATGCTAGCCTATGATATGACCATGGCCCTGGAGTGGGGGATGCTAGCCCGTGATACGACCATGGCCCTGGAGTCAGGGATGCCAGCCCATGATAGGACCATGGCCCTGGAGTGGGGGATGCCAGTCCGTGATACGACCATGGCCCTGGAGTGGGGGATCTAGCTTGTGATATGACCATGGCCCCGGAGTGGGGGATGCTAGCCCGTGATACGACCATTACCCTGGAGTCAGGGATGCCAGCCCATGATAGGACCATGGCCCTGGAGTGGCCATCCACAGTCACTCCATGTCAGGCCTTGCTCACGTGGGCCAGGCCTGGTGACTGGATGATTGTGTCCTAAGGGCGTCATGGCTTCAGCTCTGGGACACCAGCGTCCTGCTTCCCATGGAGGCCGCGCAGCGTGAGTGGGCTGCAGTACGCCCTACCCCCACCAGCACTGTGCTCAGCTGCCGTCCTGCTGTGTGTGTGTGTGTGTGTGTGATGGGGTGTCAGTGGTGGCGCTCTGGATGGCGCTACTGTCCAACGAGCCTGAGCACTTTTTCTTGTGCTTCTGGCCATTTCTGGGAGAAACGTCTTATTTTGCCCATTTTTCAAATGTGTCTATTGTGTCGCTCAGTGCTAATCATGGCTCACCTGTCCTAGACGTCCCTCTGCCCTATGGGTTGTCTTTTGCCTTTAAAAAAAAAGAAGTTTATTTGAAAGGCAGAGTGCCAGATAAGGAACCTCCCATCTGCTGGGTCACTCCCCAAATGGCTGCAACAGCCAGGGCTGCGCCCAGCCAAAGCCAGGAGCCAGGGGCTCCGCTGGGGTCTCCCACATGGGTGGCAGGGACCCGAGGCCTCAGGCCATCACCCATGGCTTGCCAGGCACCTTAGCAGGAGAGCTGGATGGGGAGTGGACACCACACTGGATCCCAGATTAACCAGCCACACCTCAAAGCCCACCCCCTCTCCTTCCTCCTTGGTGTGGTAAGTTTAGAAGCACAAAGCTTTTCATTTCTATGGAGTCCGCTCTGGCTGTTTTTTTCTTGTTGCTAATCCCTGAAGGGCTCACCTGGCTGTTGGCTTCTAATCAAACCCACACACACTCCCCGAAGAAGACAGGACCTGGGGCTGGGTCCAGCCAGGTTAGTGGAGTCAGGTGGCCTGGTCCGGGGTATTCTTTTCCACCGGGTGTCCAGGGGGAGGGGAGGTGGGGCTTGAGGAGCTCAGCGGGCCTCACCCCATTGATGCCCCAGCTCCCACAAAGACCCAGACTGGTCACTCGAGATGGGGAGGAAGGGCCTGGACTACGAGGGTGGAGAGCACCTGGGTGACCACGTCTGGGTTTCTCACCTGTGACATTAGCCCCTTGGCAGCGTCCGCACTTGGAGAACTGACAGCTCTGTCTTCCGTCCGCAGCCATGAAAGCCGACCGGAAGCGCTTGAAGGGCGAGAAGACGGACCTGCTGAGCCAGATGCAGCAGCTGTACGCCACGCTGGAGAGCCGCGAGGAGCAGCTGCGCGACTTCATCCGCAACTACGAGCAGCATCGCAAGGTGACGCCCCCGCCTGCCCAGCTCCATCGGGAAAGGGGAGGCCTCGGGTGCGTGTGTCCAGACCTGGCCCCCAGGGTGGCCGCAGTCCCCCAGCTCCTGGGCACATAAGCCAGGAGGGGACAGCGTAGACTCCAGAGTCTGGCTGGCTCAAATTCCAGCTGCCCATGTGTATACCCTTGGGTATTGCACCTAACTCTTGCTTAGCCATGATGGTCAGGACAGCGTGGACCTGGGAGTCCTGCTGGCTCAGACGTCAGCTATGCACGTGTGTGCCTTGGGGCGTTGCACTAACCCTTGCTTATCCTTGACGTGGGTTTTATGAGATGGTGAGTGTGGCTCCTGGTGTCTGATAAACCTTCAGTGTTAATTATGCACCTTGTCAATAACACTCTAATGCAAGCACAGGGAGAGCCAGGGAGGCTGTAGAAAATCCTGCCTGCCAGGAGGGAATCTCGGAAGGCCTCACAGAGGAGGTGACGTGCGAGTTGGGCTCCGTAGTATGGAAAGGAGTTCATGGGTCTGCTGACCAAGACATCTGTCTCCTCTGGACACGCAGATGCATGCCTGTGCGTGTGTGCTGTGTGTGGCCATGTCACAGTCTGAAGACTCCTGGGTGTGCCTTGCACTGACACCCAACACTAGGGGTAGTCAGCCACACTCCTGTTTCCCAGATGAGCTGATGGGCACAGCAAGGGGAAGGCATGCCTGCGGGTCCCACAGCTGGGGAGCACTGGCCCCCACGTGCCAGCTGCTTCCCTGTCCTGGATCCCAGTGCTTTCCTGAAGCCCTGGCCTGGACCTCTCCCCTCCAGCCAAGGAATACCTAGGGCTGCCCTGAGAGCCTGGTCTTCCTGCAGCTGACCAGGTATGCCCATCAGCAGGGACGCCTGGTCATGCGCATCCCAGGGCAGATACACAGGGCTGGTTCTCGAGCCCACAGCCACTCACTCCTCCAAGGCTGAGCCAGGCCTGGGGCAGGAGATGGATCCAAGTGCGTCCCCCAGCCTTCAGCTTCGGTCACACAGAGGACAGGACTACACCCCAAGACTGTGCATGTTGGCACAGAGCTGGCTTGCCCTGGGCTCAGCTTTGGCAGCTGTGAGGCAGTGGGGTCAGTGTGATGAGAGCCACAGTACACAGGTGTTGGCACCTGCTATGAGCTGCAGGTCTTAGCCTCATCTCACATATACAGTATGAACAGTAGCAGGGCTGTGGACGATGGCTCTTGTCCGCCTTGTCCCCATTTGGCAGAACTGAAGACAGAAGCCTAGGTGGGACACCAGCACAGAGTCCCATAGTCGGCAAGGTCCAGCCCCAGCGGGGTGGGCACGAGAGCCCACTGCTGCCAGCGTCCCACGTGCTGCACCGTGTGAGCGAGCACAGGCGTTCTTCTTGCTGTTGACAAGGCGACACAAGGCATCAGGGAGAGCTCACAGCTCCTGGCTTTTTCCCTGGGGTCATAGCATATTTCCCCCTGCTTCCCTGGGTTGCTTATCCGGTGTGTTTTGATTACTTTGCTCTTATTGGGCAACAAAATTCCCACAGAGTACCCCACGTCATTCCTTTTCAAGTGGTAGGTACCACGGGCGTCCTCCAGTCTGGCCAGCCATGGGACGCAACCAAAGCTGCCCAATGACCAACAGCCCCGTGGCTGCCATGGGCAGCTGCAGAGGCCACGGCCAAGTGCCCAGTGTGGCTTCCTTTGGTGGCCTTTGCAATTCTTCAGGTTCACTCAGAATAAAATGAAATTTGAGAAATACTGTCTACCCATGACTGTCGTAAGCAGAAGGGGACCACTTCCGAAGCCCAGCCGTCACAGCCACGGCCACACTGGAGCAGTCTGTAGTCGCCATTGGCCTTGCTCCGTTTCACAGATGGGAAGACTCAGGTTCCCAACAGTCCAGTGACCGGTCCAAGACGAAGACACAAGGCCTGGTTTTGTCTGGCCTTATACAAAGTCTTGTAGTTGATCAAAAAATGATCAACTTTTTTTTTTTAATTAAAAAAGAGAGAAAGAAGCCTCCCACCTGCTGGTTCACGCCCCGAATGCCGGCAGTGGCCACAGTTGGGCCAGGCTGAAGCTGGGAGCCAGGAGAGAGGAATGCTCAGGCTCCTAACTCCACTGAGCTCCATCACTCAGCCCAGCATGCCCACACAGCCCCTCATGGGGTCCCCTGTCGGCCTCAGCTGAAGCAGATGGCAGCACCCAGATGCTGAGAGATAACAGGGCCTCAGTCCACCCAGAAAGTTCCCCAAGGGGCAGCAGCATCCCTGCCACAGGCCACCAAACCTCTGTCCCTGCAGGAAAGCGAGGAGGCCGTCCGGGCACTGGCCAAGGAGAAGGACCTGCTGGAGCGTGAGAAGTGGGAGCTGCGGCGCCAGGCCAAGGAGGCCACGGACCACGCCACGGCGCTGCGCTCCCAGCTGGACCTCAAAGACAACCGCATGAAGGAGCTGGAGGCTGAGCTGGCCATGGTGAGACCCGGGGCCCTGACAGCCCCCCGGGCCTGAACGCCCCATTCCCCTCTCTTGGTCCCAGGAGGGATGGGGATGAATGCTGGAGGACCAACCAGTCACCATTCCACACTCGCCAGGCCATTGCTAAAAAGGAATGTGTATTGTTTAAGATAGGCAGGCACTTCATGAAAAGCCCTGAGTTTTGACATGTATTCAGGAAAATGTTTGGAAGGAAACACACCACTGTTCACATCAGCTAGCTCGGGCTGGTAGGATGACAAGATTGTTTCTGGTCTTTTTGTTTTAAAAAAAGATTTATTGGAGAGGCAGACATGCAGAGAGGAGGAGAGACAGAGAGGAAGATCTTCCATCCGATGATTCACCTTTCAAGTGGCTGCAACAGCCAGAGCTATGCCATTCCAAAGCCAGGAGCTTGTTCTGGCTCTCCCGAGTGGGTGCAGGGTCCCAAGGCTTTGGGCCGTCCTCAACTGCTTTCCCAGGCCACAAGCAGGGAGCTGGATGGGAAGTGGAGCTGCCGGGATATGAACCTGCACCCATATGGGATCCCGGGCATGCAAGGCAAGGACTTTAACCATTAGACTGTCATTCCAGGCCATTGTTTTGTTTTTCAAATATATCAGAAGCAAAAATGTCTTACAATCCTCAAAAGGGAAAAATCTCCTTTTCCCAAATTCTCGTTCCAATTTTAGTATATGTGCTGCCGAAGCGAGCACCCCAAATTCTCAGTCCTGCCACTCACTTGGTGCTGGGGGCAGAGAGCTCAGGGGCTTAGCAGGAAAGGCGGGGTGTAGGGCTCAGGATTGAGCTCTGCGGCTGCACTGCAGCCCTGGGCTGCCCCCCTTCTCTGCTGGCTCCAGTGCAGGTGCAGTGGGGGGGGGGTCTACAGGGGTGGCTAGGGGGAGGATGCGCCCAGAGGCTCCCGACACTCCCTCAGGGCTCCCCATCACATCCCTGCTGTGTGACACTGGGCAGGATGCTAACCTTCTCTGGGCCTCAGTTCATCACTCCACAGAGGGACTTCAGGGTGGTAAGCTAGGGGAGGGCTCCACGTCATGCCTGAGACACTATGGCTTCCTTTCTGGAGACCCAGAGCAAAGCAGGAGCTTGGGCTGCTCCTTGTCCAATGCTGACCCCTAGTGGTGAGCACTGCCCAAGCAGGCAGATGCTGTGGCCACAAGGAGTGCTTTTCCAAGGGGGCTTCACCTTGCGGGGGGTCCACCTTGCGGACCTGGAAAGGGGTGCAGAGGAGCCTCCTGTGCTCCCAGGCTGCCTAGGGCCCTGTGCACAGGTCCCTTGCCTTGCTCATCCTGGGACGGCTTCGTTGTGGCCAGCACAGCTTAAGCTTCTCCTTCCCACCGCCTTGGCAGACATCACACTGCTATGCTGGGGGTGGCCGGTAAGGCTTGCTATAACACAGGCCCACACGGGGTCTGCCCAGGGCTCAGGCCTTGCTGGGGTGTCCACCTGATTACAGGGCCTCCACCCTCAGACTCTCAGCCAGAGGTGTCCGCTGAAAGTTGTGTGGCCGGCAGGCCCAGCTTCCCCAACACACGGCTAATCAGGACAAGACCCAGGGGAGATGCCTTCCCGAGGCTCGACCCCACATCCTGGGTTGCAGACAGTGGGGGTTCTGGCTGGCTGAGCCCTGGAGGGAAGCCGGGGTCCTCAGGTGCCATGGGAAGGCAGAGCATCCAGCTTTGAAACGGGCAGAGGCGAGGCTGGGGGAGAGGGGCAGTGCAGGTTGGAATGGTCAGCTCCACAGCCCCTGCTGAGAGGAGGACTGGAAACCCAAAACCAGTCCCATGAATTTCACCTCAATTTAAAAATGTACCAGTGGCCCAGTTTGTATCTCTTCACCTCTTCTCCATGCCAGGTCACTCCTTAGTTGCTGCTGCAGAGATGGGAGCTGGGCTGGCAGCAGTCACACCTGACATTGAACCCCAAGGAAAGCAGGTGCAGTGAAATAAGGCAGGAGGAAAGGTTGACACCGTGCCCGGCTTTGGTGGCCCGTGACATCCGTGCTTCCTCCCAGGACCAGGCCAGAGACAAGGAGTGCCTGCGAGAGTGGAGGGCTCCCCGACACAGCCCCTCCAGGCCACCAGGAGGCACTGGGCAGCAGGACGCAAGGGGCTGGAGCTGGAGGGCACAGAGGGCCCAGGGCAAGGTCATGTGCGTCCACAGGGAAAGCAAGTGCAGACCTCCTGGGTGGGAACTGCGGGTCTCCTTGCTGGGTGTTACCCCACGTCTACTGGGCGGCCAGCAGAGCAAGCCCCCGGGGTCAGCTGCCTGGCTGTGCTGCAGGCACGCCTGCCTCTTTACTCAGTGGGGTTTTCAGGAGATGCTGTCTGCCTGTGTCCAGCTCCACAGCAGGGGCTGGGCTTCCGGGGGGGTGGCACACACATGCACATTCCTTGTCCCGTGGACCCAGCCCCCTGGCCTGTGTCCCATGGGCCCAGCTCCCTGGTCCCTGTTCCATAGACCCAATCCCCTGGCCTGTGTCCTATGGGCCTAGCTCCCTGGTCCCTGTCCCATGGGCCCAGCTCCCTGGTCCCTGTCCCGTGGGCTCTGTCTGCCTCTCCTGTACTGTTTCCTGGCCCTCTGGGAGTGCGGTTTAGGGGAAAACCTGACCCCAGTCAGGCCCCCTGGCAGGTGAAGCCTGCTCTGGTGGCACCCCCTTTCTCTCTGCTGTGCTGGTCTCACTTTGTGGTCACTGAGGGGTGACACCAAGGTGAGCTCCCAGGCACAGCCCTGTGGAGCAGCAGCCACAGGCTGGGGGTCCCTGGTTGGGGGGCAGCGACTCCGGGGTGACTCAAGGCTTCACCGCGTGATGCTTTGACCATGCTGTTCTCATCCTGTCCCTGCATTCTCTCTCTCTCTCTCTACAGGCCAAACAGTCCTTAGCCACCCTGACCAAGGACGTCCCCAAGAGGCACTCCCTCGCCATGCCGGGCGAGACGGTGCTCAACGGCAACCAGGAGTGGGTGGTCCAGGCCGACCTCCCGCTGACCGCAGCCATCCGGCAGAGCCAGCAGACACTCTACCACTCTCACCCCCCACACCCCGCAGACCGGCAAGGTGAGTCCAGCAGGGCCGCGGCCTCCACGGGCACCCTGCGAGGCCTTCCGGGCAGGTGGGAAGGATGGTGTCTTGACTCTCGCTGCCACAGCTTAGAGGGGTCCAGCCTGGAGCTGGGTCTCTCTGACCACCCAGGCTTCCTCTTCAGGCTGTATGACTCCCCACCCCCAGGCCCCCAGGCCCCCAGACCCCAGGCCCAGCAGCTGCACACTTGTAAATGCCCTACAGCCCAGGAATCTTGAGAAAGAGAAGCCCCTCCCCCAGGCAGCCATAGCCAATCCTAAAGAACGACTGATTGGCCAACCTGTGTCACCTACCCACTCCTGAACCAATCATTGTGTCTCTGGGGGAGTCGGTTCCCCCTGATTGGCCAGGCTGGGTCCCCTGACATCCTTTGGTAGGCAAGGCAGCAGCAGCAGGGCTCCTTTATTGACAGCCCGGCTGACCACTAGAAGTTGAGGAATGGCAGGTGTAAGAGCCCTGTCTGACCTGGGCAGGGTGTGCAAAGATGGGGAGGGAGGCAGCTCTAAATTCCTCGTTGGTCCTTGCACACCTGGCTCTCTTCTTTGTCTCTGCTGTGCACAGCCACCCTTGTGTGGCAGGTGCAAGCTGGAGCGAGAGTGGGCAGAAGCCCATGTATCCCCTGGGACCCTTTGCAGAAGCTATCACTCTGGATGTTGTGGCCAGAGCTGGAAGCCAGCAGGAGATGAATCAGGCATGGCTCTGCCTCCAAAGAGGGGCTGGCAGGCACGGGAGGAGCTGGCAAGGGCAGCCTTTGCTTGTCAAGGGTGCAGGTGGGCAGGGAAGGTGAGTCGTTGGGGCAGAAGGACACAAGCTGCTGGGCTCAGATCCTGGCCCCCATGCTGAGTAGCCATTTCCTTTATGTGTGAGTCATGAAGGGTGTGTTTGGGGTTCCACATGCGGGCACATTAAGTGTGTGTGCTGAGCTGCCCCTCTCGCGGGCTTGCCTTGGAGGATGTGAAATGAATCAGCGCCCTGGGGAATAGGAGCTGCTGCCCTCACCCCAGGGTCATCCTCCTGACAGCAGGGGCTGTCAGAACCCTGGCAGCAAACAAGTCCCAGGCCCCCCTCTCCCATGAAGAAGAAGCACTGTCTGGCCCGGGTGAGATGACTTGCGGGGCAAGATAATGGGACGGGTTTGGGGCTGGGAGAGCTGCCTTGTTGCCACAGGGTCTGAGACCCCGAGAGGCTGCCTGGTTCAAGTACACTCCCTGGCTCTGGCTCTGGCTGGGGCAGGCTGCCATGTCCATCCTCCAGGCCCTTCCTCCTGTACCCAGCTCAGTGCTGTTCATCGGGCACCCCCTCCCTCTGCCCACCTGCAGCAGTCCACAGCAGGCACTCTGTTGGTCTGTCCTCACCAGCTGGTGCCGACACCTGCAAATGGGAGAGCCCATGCCAGGCCCTCGGGTGGGGAGCTTCTGCGCAGGGAGGGTGCTGTTCACCCCCCAGTCTTTGCTGAGCACCTGCTGTGTACCAGGCATCGTGAGCTGTGGGATCCAGCCAGAGGAGACAGCCTGGGTGCCTGCCCTCACGGAGCCGGTCTTGTCAGGGGCACAGATGACGTGGATGGAGGCCAGCTAACAAATACACTGGTTACAGATGCAGCAGCAAGATGGGGACTCAGCAGTTCAGAGAGAGCTGGGTGCTAGGGAAGGTGGAGAGGACCCTGGGTGGGCTGCAGAGGCTGTGGCAGGGAGACCGAGTGGCTCAGGCAGTGACCCACGGGACTCAAATTCAATAATGGTGACTGTGGGAGGAGGGTGCAAGCCACTGATTAGGGCTGCTGGCTGGATGGGGGCCAGGGCAGGTGGGACCTCAAAGGGAGAGTGCCTGTTACCCCCAGAGGGACAAGAGGCGTAGAAGCTGCCAGCTCCCTTCCCCCACCCTGGGCTGCTGTGGTCTTCCAGGCAAAGGTGCAACAGAGGCAGCAACTGGCCAGAGAGACCCTGGGCTGCTGTGGTCTTCCAGGCAAAGGTGCAACAGAGGCAGCAACTGGCCAGAGAGAAGCGGGGGCCCGGGGAGCTGTGTTTTGGGGTGCAGCAAGAGCAGCTGGTGGGATTATAAAGCTGCAGGTGTAACAGCAGGTGGTCCTGTGAACCTCCAAGTGACCCCAGAGGCCGTGGGAGGCTCTCCGCAGGAGGGGCTGTCTCTTCCCTTCTCCCCTTCCCTACCCACCACAGTGTGCTCGTGCCATGGGGCTGCAGGCAGGCCCCCACTCACCAGCTGTCCCTGCTTTCCAGCGGTCAGGGTAAGCCCTTGCCATTCCCGGCAACCCTCTGTCATCTCTGATGCATCCGCCGCCGAGGGCGACCGGTCATCCACGCCGAGCGACATCAACTCCCCGCGACACCGGACACACTCCCTCTGCAACGTAAGGCCAGCAGCAGCGGGGTCTGGGCACTGCGGGGGGCCGGGCGGGGCGGGGGGCCGGGCGGGGACGCACCTGCTCTTTCCTCTCGCCCACCCAGGGAACACTCTGGCGAAGGCCTTTCCTGTTCTGTCCTTTCCTTTCCCGAGCGGCCGTGGATGTGGGGAGAGAGAGACAGGAGGCCCGCTGGCTCCTCGTGTCTGGGCGGGCACGGCATATCCAGAGGAAGGTGGGCCCAGGTCGCCCACAGGGTCTGTGCAGGCTGCAAGTCCCCCCATCCCCATGGGCCCTGTCCAGGACCGTGGCTCCTCCTCCCAGCTGTGTCCCTGTGCTTCATCCAGGGTGGGGTCAAGAGGTGGGGTTTATTGAATTTCCAGTAGTTTTGTCTGCATCTCCCTGCAGAAGCACCCTGTGACTTTGTCTTTGATTTCTTTGCATATTTAATCCATGTTTGCAAATGGCATCATGCGTACTGCCTACCACGAGGCAGGTGACCCCAGGCCCACAGAAGTGTAGCTGACCCCTTCAGGCAAGCCACAAGGCTGCTAGTCCACACCCATTTGCCACGACAAAAGCTGGGGACTTGGAAGGAAAAGTTACCAAGATAGCATCCCCACGCACCTCCTGCTTACTCCACCTCTTAACATCCCACCCTGGGGACCGCCCTCTGCAGGACACCCCCGCATTGCACCCAAACCTTCACGGGCTCCCCAGCTACAGCAGAGAGGAAGTGAAGGAGGGCCAGCCATGGGGCATGCTCAGAAGCCATCCTGAGACACTAACGTGAGGTGGGGTGGGGGAGGCGCCACTCTGCAGCTCTGACCGTGAGGTCAGTGACGAGGGGGAAGAACCCCTGCCATGCCCTAAGACCAAGACATCGTAAGCTGAAACCTCCAGACGCTCAGCCCATGTTGTCTTAACCCAGGCAACAGACAGAAGCAAGGGGAACAGGTTGGCAGCAAGACCTAGCCAGGACTGACTGATGATCCGATGGGCTGTGTGGGAAACCCAAGGGAATAACCTGACAGGTTCCTGGAGTGGACTCCGAGGCAGGTGTCCGATGGTCCTGGCCCCAAGGCAACTCTTCAACATTGCCTGTGTGTGAGCAGTTGGAATGGAATCCCTGTGTTTGAGTCCCCAGTAAGAATACAAAGCGCTCATGAGAAGAACTAAGGCTGAGTGTATCAGGAGCTGCCTGCACCTGTTGACGCTGGCCCAGGAGCCTCCTCCAGCCCTCACCACCTGGGACACTGGAGAGGCCTATGACTTCCATGCTCTGGTTGTTAAGGACCCCAGGGAGGGAGACCAGGCATCCTGTTCCATTCACACCCAGCCCAGCTGAGACGCCTTCCCCTGGGCCCTGTGTTGTCATGGTGCAGAAGGAGCTCCCACTGGGCACAGGGCCCTGCTGCCAACATCGGAGCTTTACCAAGCCAGGGCGCGCGCACACACACACATCAGTGACCATAGATCCCTTCCTCTTACCCATCTTTGTCTTAGCTCGACAAAGACGGCCCTTCCCTGGGGTTCTGTTTGCAACCTCCAGATGAGAATAAAGACTCAATTTTCCTCTGCTACCTTTCCTCCTTCCCTCAACCCCCTTCTCAACAGGTTGAGGCACACAGGTAAGCCAGGAAGAGCCTGAAAATAATTCCAGGTAACCCTCTGTTCTCAGGCATTTGACCTGGCGTAGCCTAAACCAAGGGCCTCCTCATTCTCTTCCCACCCTGGGCACTACTTAGAGCAGAGGTGGGGACTCAGTACACAGATGATAGGTAAGGTTTTTAATGAGCATTATGCCTGCAATTCCAGAAACAACCACTGGGAGTCTCCCTAGCAATGACTTTCATGACCCAGGCCGCTGCTTGTGGGACCATTGCATGCTTGCACACATGTGCACATGTGTCCATAAGGATCCCGTCCTTGTCCACCTGGGTCAGCGCTGGCCACACAGTCCAAGGCTCACAGGCAGGCAGAGCCCTTGTGTCAGGTTCCTGAGCTACTCCCAAGGCTCTGGAGTGGGTCCTGCCCGGGCCAGCACCCGGCCAGGAGGATTAGTCTGCGACCAAAGGTGAGGGCTCTGCTTTGATGAGCTCTGTGATGCTGGACTCCAGCAGCCTCACTTGTACCTGAAAACCAGGCCAACCTGAGAGAACGCTGCTGCACAAACAAAGATGCGTGTGCTGGTGGAAGAGGCAGTGAGAATCCGCAGTCTCCTAACTCTGTTTCTTTCTTCAAATTCTTGGTTATCATGACTTTTCCACAAGAGCATATTTCTTTATGAAATGCACCAGAGGTTGCCATCTTCCAGTTCTAACCAGGACAGGACCCAGGGAGCCTCGCAGGGCTTGCTCGACAGTCATAGCATGTAGGACAGCTTCCCAAGGGGCTCTGTCCAGGACCCCTGGTCCAGGCAGCACCTTAATGAGCCCCGTAATTCACCTGGGAGTGTCAGTGCCAGGAGGTGTAGGGGTGGGGTCCCCTCCACAGAGGCAGGGCACCCCGAGGGACGGTTTGCAGGCCACCTCTCTTGTACGCTGTGTGTCTGCTATTTCATCTTCCTCTTTTCCTCTGGCTTCAGGGCGACAGTCCCGGCCCCGTTCAGAAGAACCTGCACAACCCTATTGTACAGGTAAGCATGCCTTCCCTGGCACCCCAACTCAGGCTCTTGGGGCTCCCTGTGGGGTGGGGGGGGTCAAGCCCCCTCCCTGAGTTCCATGTGGGCTGATGCCTAAGCTGGCCTCAGCTCCTCTCCTGGGGTCACCTCTTACAAGCCCTCTCCTGGTGTGTGGACCTACTAAGTGCGCTGCCCATTCTGGTTCCTGGTTCCTGCTACCCTAGCCAGGGACGACCCTGGCAGCCAAGGATTCGAAGCCTTGAGGAAAGGCTGATAACCCAGATCAGCGGCTCCTTGGGCTCCTTGCTGCTAAAGAAACTTTACATATATATATATATATATATATATACACTTTTAGCATGTTTGATCTCAGAATGAGCAGGGAACCACAGGGAAAACAGAATGGCTTTGAAGGTCAGTGAGGGCCTCAGAGGTCATCTGCCTCTTCCTAGATGTCCCTTCCCCCGGTCCATGCACTACCTGTGTGCATCAAGGGGTCCACCAGGGAAGAGATTGCAAATGCAGGTTCCCGGGCTCTTCACCCTGCAGAGTCTAACACACCACGTGGACGGTGTGGCTTGAAATTCGGAAGTGTTTGGGATATAGGACTCTGGCCCGAACCCCACCCCCGTGTGGGTAGCTCCTGTGTTGACACAAAACACTTGTGCACCGCAGACGTCATCAATAGCATGACCCCCACTGCACGGAGGCACTGAGGGTGCCCAGCGTCCCAGGGCAATGTGGATCCTTCAGGCCCCAGGTACCCTTCTGCTCAGAAGTCCACCTCACTTCCTTTCCAGGGGCCTCCAGCCACTGGGGGTGCTCCAAGCTCCCCCAGGCCTTCTCTCCACTGTACAGTACACATGCTGGCCACCCTTGGCCCACATGGCCGCCTCCAGTCCCAATGCTGACTCCAGGCACTGGCCAAGTGTGGGTTGTTCTATGGCCAACCTTCAGGGGCAGGAGCTGAGTATACTCAACAAGACTGAGAGGGGTGGGGTCCACACCATGGCAGGCAGCTAGCTGTACCCTCCTGCTTGGAGGTGGACCTGTTGTTCTTAAGAGTTCCCTGCAGTGGCCCAAGCTTGCACAGCCCTGAATGGGCAGGCACTGACCTTAACCATGGCCCTGGCCCTACCCCTGCCTCCTCCTGTGCCCCCATGCCCAGCTAACTGCCTCCTTCTTTTCCCCCTAATTCCCCGCCTTGTGCCATCACTCAGTCACTAGAGGATCTTGAAGACCAAAAACGGAAGAAGAAGAAGGAGAAGATGGGATTTGGCTCCATCTCGCGCGTCTTCGCCAGAGGGAAGCAGCGGAAGTCCCTCGACCCCGGCCTCTTTGATGGTACCGCCCCCGATTATTACATAGAGGAGGACGCGGACTGGTGATGGCCGCCGCCCTGCGCCTGTGCGCATGGACGTGCGTGCGTGGGCGTGCGCGCGTGGCCGTGGGGGGATGCGCGCGGGGGGCTCGGGGCTGGGTGCGCGCCGTCCTCTATAATTGATGTACATACCGCGCCCTGTGTGTGACTCTGTCAAGCCCTCCGTTGTCTCTGCCGCGACACAGTCGTGTTGTTAACCTGGTTTCTTGTTTGTTTGTTTTTCTTTTTCCGTGTTTAGTTGCTCCTCCCACTCCCCACCCCCGTCCTGTTTTGTTGGCTGTTTTCATGTCGCACCCTTCCTCCTCCGTTTGATGAAACACTTGAAGGACTGCTGTGTATTTGTAAATACCCACGATTATGCACCGTGTTCTGGGCCGTATCCTCTGCCCACCGCCTCGCCCGAGGTCCAGGTCTGCAGCTGGTGGCTGCCCTACCCTACCCCTCCCTTCGGGGCCAGACCCTGTCATCGTGGGCGCCAGGCGAGCCGGGCCCTGGGGAAGGTCCCCACGCTGTCGGTGCTTAACGGTCTGTCAGGTTTCACGTGGTGGGGGGAGATGTTTTGTTTAATTTATTTGCACAAATGCAGAAAACTTATTCTATCTAAATTATTACGTGAATCACGGAATGTATATTTTTCCACGGGGTGGGCGGGAGGCGGGTGTTAAGGTGACTGTGGCCGTGGCCACGCCAGTACCAGGCCATGCCCAGGTGCAGCCTGGGCTGGCCAGGACCCAGGGAACGTTGGATTTCATGGCTTGATGATGTTTTTGTTCTCTCCTGTCTCTGTCCGGCCCAATCTCCCGCCCCTGCATGCGAGGGACCTCCATTGGATGCGTTTATTTATCTGGCCAACACTGCTCGGCCTCACCCAACCTGGCTCTCACCTCTGGAGGGAGCTCAAAGCCCCCCCTGAGGACACAGCCCACCCCCACGCCCAGGGTCCAGCCAGAGGGGCCCTGGGCGCCCTGCGGAGCAGGACACACCTCTTTGCAACTGTGTTTCCTGGCCCCACCCCGCGGAGTACAGTAGGGGATGCACTTTGTCCCCTCCTCCACCCTCCCCACCTGTCACACCCACAGTGGGAGGCAGTACCTGTTTGGGGAGCAGCGCTGGCTCCCCATCAGGGAGGCCTCCCCAGCCTGGGAGCCGCGTGCATCTTAACGCCAGGTGATGGAGAGAACCCCAGCTTCGCCAAGCCTGACATTCCCTTCCCCTTGCACCCCACCATGCTGCCTGTCCCTAACAGCTAACCACAGCTCTAGACGGCCGTAGTTGCACCCTCACAGCTCTTACAAAGACGCCAGGAGAGGGCTGAGAGCCGAGCCTCTCTAGCGGACCGTCCCATGCCAGCTGCTGCCTTTCTTCCCCCTCCCCGCCGGCCCCTCTGCCCCTCCAGGGATGAGACCGTGGCAGGCAGGCGCCTGTGGGGACTTCTCTGTGGCCTCTGGCCCAGCCTGGGGTACAATGGAGCGGCCGAGCCAGCACCTTTCTCTGCAGAGAGATGTTCTACAAAATACTTTTCTCCCCCTTGATTTTTTTTTTTTTTTGGTTGATTTTCATTTTCTCTCCCCCTTAACTTACAAGAAAATAAGATTGCAAGCACTCCCAGTAATGATTTAGTAGTTCCTTTCCATTTCCGTTTTTGTAAATTAGGAGATAATTCTGAGAGTCACTAAGGATGATTTATTTCAGAGAACTACGTCAAATAGCGAATGAGTTATGGGTGACATTAGAGGAAAAGAACTGAAGGCATGGATGCAAATATAAGATATTAAAAAAAATCTAAATAAAGCTTATTTTAAAATACGGTGGAATTCTATGTGATTTGATTGCTTTTATTTTGCCGTGGGTGGGAGGCACAGCCCGGCTTGACCTGCTCCCTGCAGTGTCCGGGGCTGGGTCTGAGGGTGTGGTGGGAGGGGCCGAGGAAAGCTGACCGGAATCCGGGCCCAGGGAGGGCCAAGCCAGGGTGGCCTCCCCAGGTCCCTTTTGTTCTCCATACTTGGAGGAGCTGCTGGCATCCGGGGTCACCCCGGGGTCCTAGCACACACCCTGCCATGCCCAGCACCCTATTGTGAAGCTAAGCAAGCCCCCCGGCAGCTTTCATCTGCTTCCTTCTCCCCCCAAGGCCCCACGGAGACCAGACCGAGAAAGGGACCGTGTGCTTGGACCCTGATGAGTCAATGTGCAAGATCAGGAAGGTTAGAAAAGCTCAGGACGATGAGGGCCACCTGGTCAGCCAGCCCAACAGGGCTCAGAGTGGCCACTCCTGATGGGAAAAGGTCCCCAAGCCCGTCACCCCCTGGAACCAGGGCTTGGACGCCTCCTCAGCTACACTGAAGGGGCACCCAGGATGGGGACCGCCTGGGCGAATCCCAGGAGGGCAGCTGTATCAACAGCACACGCTACTACCCCCATTCCTGGCACCACACAGACATCACTAAATGATCACAGAGCCCTTGCCTTCCATTCCCGGAGTGGCTCACTTTACAAAGCCACTGCCAACTGACAGGAGCTGGCAGACAAGGAGAAAGTCTACTTGTCACCCAGAAACTAACTCAGGCCCTCACACTAGATACCGGGGGGGGAAACATTGGCTCAGCGAGGAGCAACTTGGCCAGGCTCCTGATCCTCCCACCTACTCATGGGCTGACTTTCAAGTCTTTGCAGATCAGCGACCTCCTTTGCTTTAAAAAAAAAAAAAAAAAAAAAAAAGCTAACCTTGGAGGCCGTGCTCCAATGTTCCGCCTCCAAGTGGTACCCAGGTCCCCCAGGTCCCCCAGGTCCCCCCGGCCAACATGCCAACCACACAGGCTCCAACAGGTGTGACTAATATCAGTAACAACAATACTACTATTTAACCTTGATTAAGCATTGACCGTAGGCCAGATTCCATGCTGCGCACTTTCCTTGTATTAACTTGGTTAACTCTTCCAGCAGTCTGTATTGTTGATGAGAAAAAATGGAGACTGGGTCAGTCATCCAGGATCACAGTGGAACTGGGTGTTTACTCTGGGAGTCTGATCGGGCAGCGGGGAGGTTGGGGAGAAGGACCAGGACTTCAGTTGGACCCACCAGGTGGAGATCCTCTGCCAGATCTCCACCTGGCCCCTAGTCCCAGAAAACCCTGCCCCCCAGCCCAGCCCAGGCCAGCCAAGTTCCCCATGACTTGCAGGCCAGATGGGCAACAAAATTACCTCTGCTTGCCCTACGGTCCACCCCTGGCTGGACCAGCCAAGAGCAGCTCCACACCTGAGCCACTGCTGCTCATTCGACCCAACCCTGGGCCTCTGGGAGTCCAGGTGGGACAGCACCACAGGGGCCTCAATCCTTCCACCATGTGACTTTCAGATAGCCATAGGACTTCTTCCCACCCTCGCCAAGGCTTCCCCTTCCACAAATCCACCCTCTTCCACACCTCCCTGACCCCCCATCTTCTCTGAACAAAGGGCCCTTAAGTGGCTTCGAATTGGACCCTGCTGGATGGAGTGGTCCCCTTCTATACCCATTTTCCTAAGTAAGATTGATCGTGGAGGGCATTCAGGGTGCACACACTCACTGGATTTTCTTAGGAACAGCTGCCCTCTCACGTGGAAGGCCTCAGAGGTGTCTGCTGGCTGCCACCTACCAGAGGCAGCACACCTGACCCACACTCGCTGCATGCCCGTCCCCGGGGCATGTCCAGGCCATCACAGCAGGACTGAACTTAAAGAAACACGCCCAGCAGCCTCTGAACACCCTGACCAGCCCCTTCCTGCCCATGGCAGACCATCAGGTACTTCCCATGTGCCCAGCAGAGGGGAACCTGACTGCACAGGCTGGCGGCTTCTCTGCATTTCTGTTCCAGGTTTGGGAAGTCCCTGGTTGCTCTCATGGTGGGTTACTGAGAAGTAGCTGATGAATTAGCTGCATACCAGAGACCTGTGTGATACGTTATACCTCCAGAATCCTCAGCTCTACCTCTGGGGAATCCTTTGCGTCCTAGCAAGAGATGACCATCCCAGGTCACCCAGGGGTCCAGAGCAGGATGGCTCGCTGCTCCCAGATCCGGCCCTACATCTGATTTCAAACAAGCTAAGCCTCAGATTACTCATCCACAAAGTGGGTATGATACGGATTGCCTCCTCATAGGCTCAGCAGTAAGAGATGAATGTATTTTGTAGCCTGGACGGGGCTGGCATCAATCTGTGTTGCCAGTGCTTTGTAACATGTGGGTTTAGGTTGAACAGGAGTTAGGGAAACTGTGCAAAGAGCTGTGCCATCTCGAGCCCAAAGCTGACTTAGGCAAAACTTGTTCCCAGCTTCAAGTCAGTGCTGGGCTCCATGTGAGCCTGGAGACCCTCCCCCCCCCCCAGCTCCTGGGCTCTGAGCACCAGGCCCCAGAGGCCAGGTTCAGGGGCAGTGTGGTCATGGAGGAGTATCTGGGTTTCTCTTTCTGTCCCCCTAGATGCCATGTGGGAACACCCTATGCCACGGCTGCCATGGGGACCCCAGGCACAGGGACAGGCAGACAGAGACGTCTCCAGGGTCAGACTGGATATGTGTGAGTCTAGGCCAGCCTGGTCTAACAGGGAGGGGTGTGTGTGTGGTTTTATTGTGTCAGGCACCATTCTTCCAGTCACTCCAGCAATCCTTGCAGTAACTCTCCGAGATAAATACTGTTGCCAGCCCCAAGGTAGAGGTGGATGAACTAGGATGCAAGGTGTGGTGCTTGCCCACCATCAAGCAGCTAAGATGTGCAGCCTCAGCAGTTTACCTTGCAAGAGTGTGTCTTTGATGACTTGAGGGTCATCCTCAGGGGTCCGTTGCTCAACAGAGACCTGTTGAGAGGATGAGGCCACGCCCAGAGCAGGGCAGCACTTTGGGTTTGCAAACTGCTTACGGTGGAACCCTTAGAGGTTCCTCCAAGGTCCCCGGCTCCAAGGGCAGCCATCACTGGGGAAAGAAAGCTCAGGGCCCCAAG